CAGTCAGGGGCCAGTGCACGGAGGGCCTCCCAGCTTTAGCAAGGGCTCAGGAGTGTTCTGAGAGGAGAAGCAGAAAACCACACCTGGAACAGCTGTCCGTTCATACCCCAAGGCCCCCGCCTTAGCCTTAAGATGATTCAACCGAAAACGAACTCTGAACCTTGATTTGGACTCCCCAGACTTGATCCTTTATACAAAGTCTTATACAGCTTATACTATAACCTTATACACCATTATACAGCGTATACAGTATGCACCTTATACACCGTATACAGCTTATACAGTATGCACATTATACACCATTATATACCTGATACAGTATAAACCTTAAACACAATTATACAGTATACACCTTATACACCATTATACACCTTATACAGTATGCACCCTATACACCATTATACAGCTGATACAGTATAAACCTTATTCAACCTTATACAGCTTTGCTGAACACACTGAGTTAGCTTGCAGTCAACAGCTTGGGCTTTAGTAAGCTCCGCCCTTCCGAGTTCCAGAGGCTACTTTGACCTGTAAATGTATTTGTTTGGAAAGAAGATGGCAGTGACTTAAAATGCGAACTCTAGTTCCCCCACACTAAATTGATGAAGAGGATAGGATGGAGGCGAAGGCTTTGCTGCCTCTGTCTGACAGGCTCCTGATCCCTGGGGCTGAGTCAGTTCATCTTTCTTGGCAAATAAATAAGTTTTCTTTCTGTGTCCTTATGAGACAACAAGCAGAGCTGAGCAACAAGCAGAGCTATGGTCCAAAGCCCTCCTTTCTTGTTCTCTCTCTTGTTTCCCAGTAACTTGGCCACACGGAGGAGGGCTGACCTGTTCACTGCCAGCACACGGCCTCCCACACATGCACAGCTAACAAGCCTATGGACCTCCTTCCCATAAGGAAGACCTGCTCATTCGCCATGGTTCCCTGAGCTGAGAGGGGGCAAAGGAACACTTGTTGCCTTAACGTTACATCATATGACGGTCAAGTGAGGTATCAAGCCTGATAAGAGGCACGAAAACAGTCCAAACCAGTTGCAAAAGACAGAAACTGACATCAAAGCTAGGAAATGGTGTGAGTGAAAGAGACCCGAAAAGCCAAGCTAGGAATCTCAAACGCAAGCAAGAGCCTGGCTGTCTACTGCAGAGGGAAGGCTGAAGCTGTTCTGGTGCCCACACTGTTACCGTATCGTGGATTTGTTTCTCTGCTTTGTCTCACGCATCCCAGGCTGATCTCAAACTAGCCAGCAATGACCTTGAACTCTGAATGCCCCCCCCATCTCTACCTCCCAAAAGGATTGCGCAGGTACCATCCTGCCTGTTTCACGCAACATGAGGGATTAAACTCTAAGGCTTTGTGCCTGTAACTAGGCACTCTGCCAACTGAGTCACAGCTCCAGTCCAGCAGCTTTATAAATGAGACAGAAGTATGTGGAAATGCCTTTAGATATAAGAAGAAAGGTCAAATGATAACAAAGATCAATGAAGGTAAAGTGCAACAATTGAAGCTTAAAATGGGCAGAGTTTCCAATCAAATTAGAAATGTTAGACAACAGAAACATTACATATTGATTTCACAAAATTAAAAACTTGTATTCATTAAAAACAGTCTCTCACACACACACTCGCTCACACACAAAATTAACAATAGTCTGGGCAGATGACTCAGGACCTGAGCTTAACCCCACAGAACCCGCCCCAAGGCAGGCACAGAGTGGCCTCTGACCCCTGTGGTGGGGAGACAGAGAAAGGGGACTCACTGGGACTTGTTGGCACTAGCTGAGCTTACAGTGAGCTCTTGGTGCATTATGTGACCCTGTCTGAAAAAGAGAAGTACATACTCGTGGACACACACAAATGAACACACACACACACACCAACAAGGAAGAAAAGAGAAAATAACAGGCAAATGACCCAACACTGGGACAGAATTTACAAGTATGAAGCCCAAAGTAAGGATCATGTGTCTTATTTGTATGCGTTGTGTGTTTGCAGATCAGTAAGAAAGACCTTAACGTAAATATGTATCACACTGTTCACCCTTAGTATTAAAGGAATGGATGTAGGCAGTAACTTACATTGAGAAGATTCTCTTTTAAATAGCAGACATTTCTTACAAGTTTCATAAATAGAACTCACATGATGCTGGTAGGATATATTTTGAATAACTCTCCTGGAAAGCAATTATTTAAGGTGTGCCAGGAGCCTTAAAAGAACTCACAGTTGTATGCAGTGATTTCATACATAGAGATTTGTCAAAATGTGCCTTTAAAGAGACATGAATTGTGCAGGTGGTTTATGTCTATCATCCCAGGATGAGAGGATTACTATGATCCTACATAGTGAGTTTCAGGCCAGCCTGGGTTACAGTGTGAAACCCTGTCTCCAAAGCAGAAAGAGAGGGAGGAAGCAGGAGAAGGGAGGAAGGGACAGAAGGAGGGAGACCAATACCACAAAACATTTACAGCTGATAGGTGATTTTAGCATGTATATATATGCTAAATACATATATATGTATATATATGCTAAATATATATATATATATATATATGAGAGAAGAAAGGTCAAATAAATCATAGTACATTCAGAGTTTGTAACACGTAGATTTGGAACAACATTGCTGAGTCATCTCACGTTGTGACAGCGCTTACATTACAAACACCCAGAAAGAGTAGACATCAGAGCAGCCACGTGGGCTCGCAGAAACGCACCCTTCAATAAACAGCGTATCTCTGGTGATTTTTCCTTCTCTACTTTCCACCTTCTGTGTCTCCAGTTCAGAGCTCAGAAGCTTGTGTGTGGAGCACGGTCATCTCAATTCTAAGAAAGACGGTTTATAATTAATTATAGCATGGATGCGATCTAACCAGAAGAAAATTATCAAAAAACTGACTTTGGCTGGTAGTCTTCAAACACTTCTGTCCTTCCTTCTTCCCTCCCTCCCTTCCTTCCTTCCTGCCCTCCTTCCTCCCTCCCCTCCTTCCTTCCTTCCTTCCCTCCTTCCCTTCCTTCCCTTCCTTCCTTCCTTTCTTTTATTTTTCATTTTGCTTTCTTCTTCTATGGTTGTTTAAGTAAGATAGGGTCTTCACATGTAATCCAGACTTCACCGCAATCTTCCTGCCGCTGGCTCTTGATGCTGGAATTACAGATGGGCAACACCTCACCTGACCTTCTTTCTCTTTTTCTGCCCTTTTCTTGTTTTCTCTGGCAGTGTTAGGATTCAAACCCAAGATCCCGCATGTCAAATAAGTGCTCCACAGCTAAGATACATCTTGCGGCCCAGGCACATTTCTAAACTAAAAAGTTTGAAACTTCAATATTTAATTGCTGAACCAATCAAATAATAGAGGGAATTTTTACTTCTTTAAATTCTGCCTCTGGCATGAGAGAATTAGTGCTTTTAAATGCCTCTGGCTTCTAGGTTTTCTCTTCCATCCTTTGTAGCCTATTAGAAAAGAACCCAACAGACTAAATGTCTTTTGGGTCACACGGCAGTGCTTGTTTGTATTTTTCCACTGGGCTTAGGGGAGACTGATGACTTTGTACCAAGAGTGTGTGACTCAGCAGTTCGGAGGCTGGGGACACTGACTTAACTGAATTTGCTCCATGTTGAAAACGGGGTGTTCATGTCTACTTAAATATTCATGAACTGTGTGCTTGCCAGAGCTCAGCACATCTACCCATGCTCGCCCAAAATACCAGCCCTCCCCATACTCTCACTTGGCCTGTGAGCGGTGACCTTCTTTGGGTCCTTGCTGGCCCAAAATAGCTTCTGCAGCTGCTGCATTTCCACGATGTTCCCCAAAGGAAGGAGACCACAGTGGATGGCGCGTGAAAACAGCAGCAATCTCACCCGGAGTGAGACACCAGAAGCAATAGCAGGAGACTCACTTGGTAACTTCCTGTGACTTACCCACCTAGTGCATCAGACTCTGAGGTAGGGGGTAGGGGGCTCCTGCAGACTGATGCCTACTTAGACCAAAATGGTCAGCTATGGTGTCCAAGGGTCTTCCAGGCCTGGACTACATGTCCAGCAGTGTGTAGAGGCCAACGATGCTGGAACCCAGGCCACATGACCCTCCTTGAGCTTCATGAACATTAGGCCTACTGTGCTGACTCCCTCCCTGCTCACCCTCCAAGCCTGTAGACCTTGGAGCACCTTGCCACACATGTGCAAAACAGAGTCAACTTAAACAGCTTTCGCACCTTGCTATCCCACTAAGCTGCAGAATTTCTGAGAATTAATTACCTCGCCTACCCGTGCTGCCGTTTTTTCCCCACCTAAGAATTAAGGCTAATAGGATTTTCTAAGACCCTTGACCACATTCATAGTGGAAGTTCATTATGTCTGTTTCTCCTCTCCTGGGGCAGGGGTTGGACGTCATGTGAGCAGCATTATGGAAATGGAAAGAAGATGTCTTTCAGACCCCCCCAGTTAGTTGTCCCTCTGCAGTTGGTTAGGTGAATGGAAAGAAACAGAAGGAGTCTGGAGAGAGAGCCCAGCCCTTGTTGCTCTTCCAGAGGATCCAAGTTTTCTTCTTTGCACCCATATTGGGCAGCTCACGACTGCCTGTGCCCCCAGATCCGAAGAATTGGACATCTTGTTCTGGCCTCCTCCAGTACCAGGCATGAACATGGCACACAAACATGCGTGCAAGCAAAACATCCACACACATTAAAAAGCATATTTAAAAAGGGGGCGGTGGGGACAAAAAGCGTGACTATGTCTTTTGTCAACAACCTAGTCTACACTTGTGGAAAGGCTTGTGACACCGCCCCCCCCCCCCCCGAAAAGCTGCATGTGTAGTCTTACTGGCTCAGTGCCTCTAACAACCGTGTTTAACCCTACAGACATATTCGTGTCCCTACAGGCTCGCACCTCTTCAGGACCATCTTCTTGATGATAAGCCTTAAAAAGATAAAATCTTGTTTTCTCCTCTCCTCTCAGTGCTAAGTTCCTTTTTCTACATTAGCAATTGATAGGCAAAAATCCACATGTTCCAAGAATAAATTCTCAGTTTCTTCTATTAAAAAAAATACTTGTTCACAGTCAGATATGGTGATACACACATTCAATACCAGCTCTCAGGAAGCAAAGGCAGGTAGATCTCTAAGGTCGAGGCCAGCCTGGTCTATAGGGGCCAGGCAGTCTACAGGACAATCAGGGTTATGCCAGGAAACATTGTCCTAAAAACAAACAAACAAAACAAAACTTAATTCACAATATAATTCAGTCGCTTGAAGGACTAAAGCATTGGCACATGCTATTGAGGGAGTGAACCTTGAAAACATAATAATGAAGACACCCAAAGCCCATTGTTTCCATTCCCATGTAGCATCCACAGAAAGAAGAAGACGTACACCATGGTTGGGTACAGAGGCAGGTGGAGAGAACAGAACTGACCGTTTAACATTTATGAATGATTACTCAGAAGTGAATAAAATGTTTTGGAACCCGACAGATGTGCCAGGCTTGAAGAATAAGGGAATGTTCTAAATAGGTTACTGTTAATACGGTTAATTTTATGTGACATAGATTTCACCTCCACAAAAAGAAGCTGGGAAATCGAGTCCTTAATGTGGTGTCTCAAGGAGCAAAGGTACCTGCCACCAAGCATGATGATCTGACTTTGTTCCCTGGTACCCTCATGGTAGGAGAGAACCAACGCCCACAAGGTAGCCTTTGTAGACAAAGTTTTCCTGTACCACAGCCACTCTCAAATAATCACTCAGAGGCTTAATACCAATTACAAATGCTCAACCAATCGCTCAGACTTATTACTAACTAGCTCTTACATTTTTTTAAAGATTTATTTATTATGTATACGACATTCTGCCTCCATATATGCCCGCATGCCAGAAGAGGGCACCAGATCTCATTACAGATGGTTGTGAGCCACCATGTGGTTGCTGGGAATTGAACTCAGGACCTCTGGAAGAGCAGTGAGTGCGCTTAACCAATGAGCCATCTCTCCAGCCCTAGCTCTTACATTTTAAATTAACCCATATTCCTTATTTATGCTCTGCCACATGGTGGTACCTTTATTAGCATGGCATGTTCATCTTCTGCTCCCTCTGCATCTGCTGGAGACTCCTCATTCCTGCCTTCTTCCTCCCAGCATTCTCCTAGTCTGACTCTCCTGCCTAACTTTATTCTGTTCAGGTATTGGCCAGTCAGCTTCTTTATTAAACCAATCACAGCAACAAATCTTCATAGTGTACAAAAGGATTATCCACAGCAGGCCTCTGGTTGTTCTTTATGTACTGTGGTACATAACTCCTTCCCCACTTCACCAAATGTGAAAAAAATTCAGAAAAATCTAGATATGGAAATATAGCTCAGTGTTAGTATATGTGCCTAGCAAGTACAAACCCCAGGATCTGATCACCGGAATCGCATAATCCTAGCACTCAGGAGGAAGAGGCAGAAGGATTAGAAATTCACCCTTAGTTTCCCAGTGAGTTCAAGGCCAGGCTTCACTACAGTAGGCCTGCTAAATAAACAAACTGTATTCCCTACACATGATTCACAAGCGGTTATGGTAAATAGAATTTTAGAAGATTTCTTAGTTCCAGAGACAGGCACCTACCTGCCCAAGTTCTTCACAGTAAGCTATGGTCAGTGTGCTACTTCTGCTACACACTGAGGCTAGCAAGTGCCTTGGACTTCACCAGCCAGTCTTCCTCTCTCCAAAAGCTCCAAGCACTGCATTAGAGTATCTGACCTCCGCTTTTTAAGGACAACAAACACATCTTCTGCAGGGATGTTGATTCTTTATATTATATTTCACTTTATGTTTATGGGTATCTTGACTGCACGTATGTCTGTGTGCTGTGGTGTGTATGTGTGTGTGTGCTTCCTGCCTTAGGAGGCTTAGGAGGCTTAGGAGGCCAGAAGACAATATTGGATCCCCTAGAAGTGGAGTTACAAACAGCCGCTGTGGTCTCCTGGTGGTGGCGCACGCCTTTAATCCCAGCACTCAGAGGCAGAGGCAAGCAGATCTCTGTGAGTTCGAGGTCAGCCTGGTCTCTACAAACAGCCGCCATGTGCATCTTGGGAAAGTGACCACTGAGTCATCTTTCCAGCCCCGGTTGATTCTTTAGGAAAAGCGAAGGCCTAGTCTAAAGGATTGTCATTTGTGTTTCATTGTGAGGCAGGATCTCTCTGTGTAGCCCAGGTTAGTCTAGAACATCATTCTGCCTCAGATACTTTCTGCATGCTGGAATTCTAGGCGAACTGGAACACATCCAGCACAGTGTATAGTTTTAGAACCATTGTCTCCCCAGATCCCAGTCACACCTTAGCTGGGTGTCAGACGAATGGCTGAGGGGCTCCTGTGAGGAGACTCGGAGACTTAAAAAAGAAAGCCCAAATGATAGAGACTTCTGTTTTTATTACCATTCTAAATCTCAGTTCTGTTGGCAAAGAATTGGTGATTTATTTAGGACATAGAACAGAGTGTTATCAGTTCCAAAGGGTACCCTACTCCCCCACCCCACCACACACACACACACACACACACACACACACACACACACACACACACTCACTACATCCAAAATTGAGTCTAGGTTCAGCTCAAGCTGGACTATAGAAGGATTTCTGGTGGTTAGATAAAAGCCAGCATCCTCAGGAACCTGTGGCAAAAGGACCATATGTCTCTCCATTGGTGTGTACCTGTGGCACCTATCAAAGTCCATGCTGGCCTCCGAGCTTCCACTCCTATTCACCCTTACTTGTTATATATCTCAAAGCCCTTCTCACCTCCTCCTCTACCCTAACCTCCCAGGCTTCTCCTGTGCATGGGCTTCCTTCTTCCCAGATCCTCACCGTCCTTGTAGCCCACATGATTCGTCCACGCCCCCACTTCCTCAGCCCTGGCCAGATCCAGTCTCTCTCTTCCACAATAAAACCTTCTCACTAATCATGGAGCGGCCATGTTGGTGGTATCTTTGCTGCGTCCTCTCTTACAAGCACGTACAAGCCATTTCCTGGTTTGGATTTTTGAGGTAAGATAACTAAACAAGGCGACTTCAAGTTTCCGGGGTTGCGGGCTGGGAAGACAGGACTGGGGTGAACTGCAACCCCAAGACCCACCGAAGTGGGCAATAGCTGGTTATTGGCCTGTGGAATGCGGGCTGACAGACTCTGAATCTTCTGTTTTCCCAATGAATGGCTGCACTCGAGATGTGTATGTGAAATTCTGGCTCTGTTAACATTGGCAACTCATTTGAAAAGAGAAGATCTCTGTACATGCCAAACATAACAGGATTACAAACTGGATCCCACCCACAGGCTGCCAGTTTGCAACCCTGCCATCTTCACCTGCAAGTCCTGAAGGGCATACTGAAGACAAAACAGTTCTCTGCAGGAGAATCCGGTTAAAGGCAGGATTCTTAGCTCTAGATTTGGGAGAAAGGGAACAGTTCTAGTACTGATCAGATAGCCATTCTCCCTTACACTCCAATGTAGGTGCGGACATAAACTTTCTGAAGGCTGCCTTCCCTTAATGCCTAGGACCACGCTGGTTATTTTACACTAAGTGTGAGTGAGTGTGATAAGCCTGACATTTGTGCCAGTGTGCAGAGCTCTAGGCTTCTAGCAGGAACAAATACTGTAGGACAATTTCTTTCCTCACCTATCTAGTTATCCATACACTGGGGCGCTTTGTGAGGGATAGTGTTTGCACACACACACACACACACACACACACACACACACACACACACACCCCTGTAGACGTTAGGCCAGACCTGGGACAAGTTGATGTGTTTATTCTTCTCCTGGGTCTCTGGGGAGGAAGGAAATGAATACTAAAGTGCAAAGGCCTAGAATAAAGTGGGTGTGCGTGATGGGGCAGTAAAGAAACCACCAAGATGGCTGTTCCATGATTAGGGGCAAGAACTTTATTGTATGGAGGGAGAGAGGTGGGGGGGGGCAGAGAGGAGAGAACATCCAGAGGAATCTGGAAGACTCCAGAGCAGAGAAAAAAGGAAGCTGAATGGGCATGGCCCAAGCTAACCCTTGGGAAGAGTGAGAAGTAGGAGAATAGCAGAGAACAAGAGGAAAGAGAACAGGAGAGAGAACAGAGTAGCGAAGCAAAGGGGAAACCTTGTTGTTATAATGGGCGGCTCTGGACAGTGTGGGGGAGGGTAGCTTAGGTAGAAGGAGTGGGGAAGCCAAGATGGGCCAGTGGTGGGTCTTTGAAATGTATAAGAAGTACGTGTGAATAGATCTGAGGGAACCTGGAAGTCAGCATGGGCTTTGATCAACAGTCACAGGCACCTGTCAGTGGAGAGCCTTATCCTTCTGCCACAGGTAAGGGAAATGGCTCTGTTTGGCGGACGGGAACCCATTTCACAAGCTCCTGAGGACTGCTGGCGTTTACCTAACTGCCAGAAATCCTCCTCTAGTCCAGTTCGAGGAGGGTCAAGAAGGTCTTTTCTGGGCATATGTATTTCCTGAGATCTAGCAGGCAGCTGGGGACGCTAAAGAGCCTCTCTACCAGGGGCTAATCCTGCAGCCATGGACTTTAATCTGAAGGGTAAACTGTAAACCATCACTGAGAGACTAACCGTAATAAAAGCAGCGTATCTGCTCCCGCATCGAGGAGACACGCTATCAAGTCAGCTGCCCCATCTTAGAAAACACTAATAGTCCCAAAGCTCCCCTCGGACAGTGTTCAGTGGGTCAGTTGGCCCCAGGCTTCCCAGCACCAGATACAGTCTTTCTGAGAAACGTGCACTGTCCACCTGAGACCTGTTGAGAGGTCTCGGAATCTGCACAGAAACACGCCGCTGGAAGAGACTTGGGCATACCTACAGCCAGCAGCCCTTTCCGCCTTTTTGTTCATTTGCAGGTGTATTTTTCAACTTTACCTGCCTTCCAAGAAGCCATAACGCATACGTAAATATATTTCCAGTGTCAACCCAACTCTTGTGGAGATAGCATCTGCTACAAAGATAACCGGCTGGCCAACCATTAATTAGGGCTGGTTTGCACATACCAACCAGGGTTCTGATTTTCCCCAGAGTCCAAGAGGTGTCCTGGTCCTGTTGATGTCTTCAACGGGCTTCCTGCCTGCAGGAACAAGGGATGTCCTCCTTGCTGCTGTCCCTCCCTCGAGACAGTGCAGGGCCTTGGGCATTTAGACCTGACCCGTAGCCTGTAGCTTGGCATTTCTGTT